CACACACACACACACACACACTTACTTTACTGCGCGTCCTCATCTTTCCTCCCACCAGCTTCATGAAGCGGTTGTACTGCTCGTCCTGGTTGGACAGGTCGCGGATTCTGCGGATTTCATCCTCTCGTTTGCGTCGTTCGTCCTCTTCCTGTCGTCGTTTTTCCTCCTGCTGTCGCTGCTGCTGCAGTTTCCATGTCCTCAGCTGCTGCTTCCTGAATGCCTGCTTTGCCACCGAGCCTGAGAGCAGATGTGAGGAAACACAAAAGACAAGATGAGTTTGTGGTGGCACCGCTTCGGCATGTGAACAAACCATCAGAAACTTGTGATGTTCTGATTCTTCTCACCTGGACTGATCATCTTCTTGGTCACGTGAGGTTTTCCTGGTGTGCGGCCTCTGTCCTGCGGAGCTTTAGGACCAGGTTTTGGACTCTGTTTGGGTCTGTCTCTCTCTGGGGGTCGGGGTGCGGTCTTGGTTCTGTCTCGGTCCCTGTCCAGAGGTTTGGACCTAGCTCTATTTCTCTGTGCAGCGGCAGCAGCAGCGGCTGAGGAAACTGACCTGGTGGTCACTCTCTGCCTGCTGGCAGGGGCGGCCCCAGGGCCTGAGTCAGGGACAGATTTTTTCTCCTGAGTGGCCCGAGTGATCCGGTCTTTACTCTTCTTCATCACCTGCTGCTCCTGCTGCTGCCACTTCTTACTGGCTGACTGCAGAGCGAGGAGACGCAGCTGCAGCTCTGACAGCTCCTCCTCCTCCACCTTCACCATAGGCTGAGAACAAAACAAAGTGAGACTGAGTTTCCAAAGATCCAGACTCTCACAGTAGTCAGCGAACACACTGGTGATGTCAGTCCCACCTTGTCAGGAGAGACAGCAGAGTCCTCGCTGGACGCCGAAGACTCTCTGCAGCAGGAGCACATCTTTTTAGATCTATCCTTGTCGTCTCCCTCGGTTTCTTCGTTACAGCACGAACAGGTCTTCTCCTCGGCCTCAGGTTCAGGCCTTGGTTCTGCTCCTCCTCCATCTTTTCTCGTATCTTCCTCTTCACCTGGAAAAACAACACAGCTCAAACACAACTCCAGCTTTAAGATCTCGTCATTTTGTTCGTCTGAAGATTAAACCTGTTTATCAGGACGTTTCCTCCAAACAAAGACGAAATAGGAAATCTTCAGTTTAAATATTTACAATCATTCTGGGAGTTCATATTGAACAAACTGGAGTCAAATCACCAGTTTATCAATACTCAACTTTTGCTGATGAATTTAAATCTTCACACGCTGACTTGATTTATTTTAATGGTTAATGAACCTGTGTCTGAATCATAATTTTTATAATGTTGACATTTTATTTCTCACCCTGTTTCTCTTCCCCGCCCCCTCTGTCTGCCTCGCTCTGTTTCTCCTTCAGCTCGTCCAGAAGAGCGGGAGCCGACAGTTTCTGACGCAGAGGTTTGATGTTGAACGCCTGGAACACCTTCCTCTCCAGCTCCGATGCCTCCTCGCCTCCTGACAGACTATGAGCCGCCTCAGGCTCCGGTCCGGTCTCTGTGATAGTGGCCGTGTGGTCGAGGGCGTCCTCTCCGGCGGGCGAGGCTTTGGGCTCCAGGGCCATGGTCTCCTCTTTACGGATACACTCCAGCTCCAACTGAATCTGCTTGTACTTGGACAGAAGGTCCTCGAAGGATTCGTCAACACTGTTCTCTGTTTTGGAAACAGAGTGAGTCGCTTTCCTCATCTGATTCCTGCCCTGAAGCTTCTCTGAGAAAAACATCAAGGATGAACCAACATGTTTACGTGGTCACCGTGACAATGTTAGAACCGTTTTACCTTATTTCTTATAGACATGAAGTCAAGCATCCAATTATTTCTTTTCAAATGAAACACGTGTGGTTCACTGAGCAGCTGGAACCGTTTTAATGAATGAAGGAATAATGAGTGGATGAACGTGTTTACAGTGTAGAGGTCAGAGGTCGGCAGCTGCGTCCTTTATATGTGATGTGCTGAAAACAAAGAAACCTCTGAATGTGTCTGAGTAGTCAGATCTCATTCACATCA